TATTATAGGGTACTGCTAAATATGATTTCTACTAGAAACTGTATGGATAGGCAGGAGTATGCAGATTCAGCTCGGTTAAACTGGTAATTCCTTATATAGGTTCAGACCGATCGAGCAGGTAATTCCTTACGGACCTAAGGTGACCCTTGGGTAGGCTCTCAGGCCCCAAGGCACTCCTTTAGGGTGGCTCTTTTTTTTGTGCTAATGATAAGTCCTTATGGATGCAATTATGGGGAAACTACACAAAGGTGTTCGCTTTGAAGGTATTACTTCGGTTTTAAAATATGTTTTAAACTACTAACGTTTTTAAATGATCTATATACATTACTCTGTTTTGTTGGAACACACTAGACATTCTATTCCGATCTCTTGAACTTGGTCCTCTGAATGTTTCCTCTGAACTGAAATCTTCATGTCTTTTACTCGAAGGAGTATAAGTGGAACTACAGCTCATCCTGAAAATTTGTAGACGTCTGAATCGATAAGGAAATTTTTATGCTTGCCTATTATCTGCATGTCCTTCAGCATCACTTGGTAGTTCTGTATTACTGAGCTTCCTAAAGCTCACTCTTTTACTCACCATTTTACGTTAAAGGATTCGAACTAGTGCAGCTATCGATATCATTGAATGAGTTCTACCGGCGTTGCTTGCGGAGTACGATGAATGTGATTAGGGGTCATGTAGGTTGTATTCTTTTTTTATATCCGAGTTGAAACTGGTATGGTTTTAATTCTATAGTAATATATGAATGATTTTTCTGAACTTGTATTTTAATTATAAATTGATTTATGATTTTAAGCGTTTTAACAAAAGTTTTTTAATTTTCCGGGATTTTTACTGTGGGTCACTCCAATAGCCCAAGTGTGACATTTCGGATCGAATCGGGTCACTCGCATCAGTATGCAATCCTTCCTATATACCTATGGTTCATCATAATTGGGCTTATTGTATGCCATCTTTTCTCTGAAAATTCAGAATAAAAAAATGAAAAGAATCATATTTGTTTCTCATCATCTTCTGTGCCTCATGCGGTGTTATGGTTATTATTGGTGATGCTTGGTTTTCCTGTTTCACTGAGCGATTTTCTGATATACAAAAACTGCAGAGAAGCAAGGTTCGAATGTGGGAACATCTCCATTGGGTATCCTCTTTTTGGGGGTCATCGATTAAGGGAGTATGGACATCCTGGTTTGGAGCTTCAGTGTGACCATCATTCTAATACTACCGCCATTGAAATGGTTGGTGTAAAGTATCGGGTGCTGGACATCCGTCCTGACCGTCAAATTATAAGGATTACGAGGGAGGACTTTCCGGAGAATGGGTTTTTTAGACCTCAAACAGCAATCAGAGATTCCGTCATAGATTATGAGGTGATGGATATTGGGCCTGCTCATCCTCTTGCTCTCAGTTATACCAATGTTACTCTGTTTTATGACTGCCCCCACCATCCTCATCTTTAATCGCATCTTCACCCAGCCTTGGAAGCTTCACTTGCAATTCTTCAGGCTACAAGAATATATCGGATGGGTTTAGATGGGTGCTTAGCAAATGTTAACTTTCCCATTTTTCAAACCAACTGGGCAAGGTTTCGCGGTGATCCCTCCTTGCTTTTGGTTTTGGAAGAGGCCATGAAAACAGGGTTCCAGGTGAATTGGAAGGAGGATACCTCAGCCTGCCGCAAGTGCAATGCTTCCGGCGGAGCCTGCGGTTTTAACATCTCTAACACTCAAACATTCTGCTACTGTCCACACCCAAATCAGAATTTACAACAATATCGATCTCCCAACCAATGCCGTCGCCAAGGTATGTACTCTTCGTGTTTACAACAAAACAACATTCACTGTTATTACTTCCAATTCCAGTGAACTTGAATAAATTATTAAAATCTAACATCTACTTTCTATTTTTGACGGAATATTTAATATCAATTCATTTTTGAAGTATGGAGTAAAGATATATTAATAACATAAAATTTTAAAATAAATATTATCAACAAAATAAATAATTAATAAAAAAATTAAATTTTAGCATTAACATGTCACAGTCTTCGTATATCGTAGATCTGCCGCTGTTTAATATATATTGTATGACATAATTGTTGTAACAGTAGTTTGGCCTGTATATATTAATTTTAGTTTTGAGCAATTTTCTGAATAGATGTTGTATAAATTTTAATTTATATAATTTTTTTTATTTAAATTATATAATTTTATTTATTTAAATTTTAAAATATTAACTCTAAACAATATATATGATTAAAATATACAGATTTACATAAATTTACACAATTTATATATAATATAATTTTTCTTTGGTTTTGGTTTTAGTTTTAGTCGAGGCCTATTTAATCTTTCAAGTTTTAGTTTATTTTGATTTTATCCCTCTATTTTTCTATATTAATTATTCTTTGTCTCCTATTTTTTATTGTTAATTATACTTTGTCACCTTGAACTATAATCCTGATTCCGTTCATGCCAAAATCAACCACAAAAAATATTTCATTTGTTTGACTTTGTAACTCATCAACCTAATAATTTTTTTAAAAAAATGTCATTTTAATTAATATATAAAAATCTCAATTCAAAGTAGAATTGAAGTTCAAGATGGAGCATCAAAAATCCAATTTGAAGTCAAATAGGTAATTAAGCTCAAACTGAAATCTGAGCCTTAATTTATAATTAAGCTTATTTGTTTTCTTTTAAGTTTTCTATCTTCATTCCATAATTAAATAGTGACGGCAATTATTTGTTGATCTCACAAAGTCGTACTGATTCTTCCTACAAAATTAAAACACACGTCATTGTTTTTAGATGTGACAGACATGTTTGTTTTTATATTTCTATTCAAATAATATTATAAGTTATATATGTTTAAAAAAATATTTAAATTTAATTCAATCAATATCGAGTCAGCAGAAACTTAAGTACAAATTATTAAACTTAAGTTCAACATAGGATTTTTTTAGTTATCATTTACTAGATATATAAATCTAAATAAGTTTATACAATTTAGCTTTTTATCTTAATTAAATCAAATTAAAACGATAAAAATAAAACTCAATTGGATTCGAGTTAATTAAAAATTAAAATGTTAAGCTGCGGAAGCATGGCAAACGTCGGTTACCCTTTCTGGGGAATGAATCGTTCGAGTTACTTTGGCCGACCGGGATTCGAGCTCAAGTGTGAGGATGATGTAGCCTAAATCATGATGAATGAAAACACCTTACGAGTTCTTGGCATAAACCCTGAACAACAGATTCTTAAGGTTGCTAGAGAGGACTACTGGAATGGTTATTGTCCCAGAGAAACTAATCGACACTACAATCGACTTCGATCACTTCGATTATAGCCCGAACCTTAGGAACCTCACCCTATTCTACGGCTGTTACCTACCGGCAACCTCGACGTTTATTTTTCTTACTAACTGCACCATAAATGGTACCCTCATGGATGTGTCATATTCTACTAGAAACGTTCTGGCTGATCCTCGGCCCAGGGTTTGCCGTAGAAGTGTCCTGGTTCCAGTTTATGAAGCCCCGGTACGGGATCTCGAGGTGAACCCGATGACTATGGGGCAAGCTTTAAGGGGAGGTTTTTGAGTTGCAGTGGGAAGGAGATAACGATGAATGCAGAAGATGCTGAGATTCAGATGGGGTTTGCGGATATAATCAAACTTCAAACAGTTTCATTTGCTTTTGCAAAGATCAACCTGGTGAAACCACTTGTTTACCAACAACAGGTATGCTATAGCTCCTCTTCTCTACAATTCTGCTAAGCTGTTGGTTGTTGAAAAACTTACCGGTTCATCGAATATCTCGAGCCTTAAGTCTTACCCCTCTTCGTTTGGCTCATTCTGAAGTCCAAATGTCCATAGCAGTTGCAGCAAATTAGCCTTTGCTGCATCGGATTGCATCCTAATCTCTCTAAGCATCCTAATCTCTAACGACTTTGATCGGTTTAATTCCAATTCATAGACATATCCTTTTATCCTAATTTTACAACAAATCTTAAGCCTTGTATGATGAGAAATGCTTTCTTTCTTTTCTGGGTAACATGTGTGCTAAGTATACTATCTGCAGTAAGAGCTCTCTATTCACAAGGTTTGAATCAAGCTTCTCCATTCCATCATCTCTATCTCCAGCATTATTCACCTTGAGGCTAAACAAATGTGTTTCCGACCTTCCTTGATGTACTCGAGGCCTATTGTTTTTTTATTTCGAGATATTAAGAAATGTATGCATTCCAATAAATTCATAAAATATCTGATGTTGCAGCTCTCCTCTTGGTCTCATTCGCATCCCAACTCAACTTCTCTTGCCACGGCTTGATTACTCTCTTCTTTCAACAAATAGAAAGAATTCACCACTGCAAATTTACAGAAGTTGCAGTAAAAAAAAAAATGATTTCTTGTATCTTCCTCATTGTTGCAGAGTATGCAGTCAATTGATATATCCATCCCCAAGTGTGCAATGTAGACTTTGTAGGGAGTCTAAGAGTTACAAACCATGAAATGATTGAATGCCGAGGGGTATGAAAATCGAACCGGACTAACCGATGTCAAGTCACCTTGTCGCTCTGTGTCTATGTTTTTACAGTATGGAGACTCTCTTGTAGTTAGGTCCAGGTAATCTCCAGGGCAGCGTGCTGTCAATCTGACGAATTTAAGTGCTATAGGCCTCAATTCTAGAAATACATATGCCTGATGGGGATTGGCAAATGCTTTCCTCTAGCCTTTAAGAAACTCGAACTGAGTTTATACCTTCTGAGTTACGAGTCCTGAAAGCAGTATTATATTAAACCATGTTATTTACACTTATGATTATAATATTTCTATGTCAGGCTACCTAATTTTCCGTTGACTGCCGTTTAAACGTGACCTGCAGCAGAAGCTTCCTCTGGAAAAATTTCAACTTGGAATTCGTCAAAGAACAACTACTTCGATAAGGAAGATAAAACACCAATTCATCTTGACCTTTTCATTTCATGTCCAACCACTTCCAATAATTCTCTTCCCTCCGAAAAATGCATACCTCTTCCATCTTCATTCTAAGCTTGCTCTTCAATTTCTCTTCCAAATATGTGGTTGCCAACAGTTTCTTGAGCTGCAGTTTTCTAGCTAGCTGTGGAAGCATCTCGAATATCAGTTATCCTTTTTGGGGATTGGAATTGGATCGGCCGGAAAGCTGCGGATACCCTGGATTCCGGATCGACTGCAACGATAATGAGCCGGAAATCACGATCATGGATGTTACATACCGAGTTCTTGAAATAAACAATACTTCGAAAACCCTTAACGTTTCTAGAACCGATTACCGTGACAATAATTGTCCCACTGCTTTCCAAAACTCCACTTCCGGAAACAGCCCTTTTCGATACGCCCCGGATACTCGGTATATAAGCCTGTATTATGGTTGTCAGCCTCCCACAGTTGCAGAAAATCTCACATCAAACACGCAGATTTCCAATCAATTCGAATGCACAATAAGCGAGAGAAACATGATAGCTTATTATGCGATAAGGGACTTCAGGGGAACTGCCGTCGGCGATTACTTGGGATTGTGCAGTGACAGTGTGATTATTCCAGTCCAGAATTCTCAAATTTCGTTTTTGGAGGAAAACCAGAATCCGAGAGCTTTGGAAGAAGCGGTGGAAGTTGGGTTCTTTTTTCAGTGGTCTGCAAATGATAGCCAGTGTGATGCTTGTTTAAACGACGGCGGTCAGTGCGGGTTTAACCTCACCACAGATGAATTTGAATGTTACCACTGCCCTGAATCAGAAAGCGATCTTTGTACCAAAAGGTCTCCAGGTACATCTTCGTTCTATTTACGCCTGTTGAAATATCTCGTGAACTGATGAACAAATCCGATTAAGATATTGTTGTTCCGGCCAAACAGTTTAGTGTTAGGTGCAGTTAGTCTTGACTTTGACTAACAATATTTTCTAGGATAAACTACACTTGATGCCATTGAACTTTGTTTATTAACTTGTTTATACCTTTGAACTTTTAATTTATCAATTATTACACTAAACTTTAGTTTTACATTCAATTACATCATTTTGTAGTTAACTCAATAAAAAGATAAAGACATGGCTAATAGTTGCTGACACAATCTGCCAAACCAAAACAACATCGTTTTGATATGATTATTCTAATGCCTAAAACGACGTCATCTTAAACATTAAATTTTGCGGGTGTATTTGATTATGCCGTTGAACTATTAAATAATTTATTATTTTATCACTACACTTTTCGATGTCGTCGACAATCAATCACTATCCGTCACCAATAATTTTGTGTGATAACATCGGTACCAAAACGTTTGCATTTCACTCTTTTTCTATTCTTATGATTGGTTTTCCACGAAACACACTCAATATTTATGAATTAAAAGTTTGATATATCAATATTTCAATCTCTTTCAATGATCGTCCAATGAGATTAATTTTTATGTTTTTTTTTAAAATAAAGCTTCTCACCGTTTAGATTTTCAACAAATCTAAGAAAGTCTTCAAACAATTAAACAATAATTGATTTTTTTGTTTAATTTGATTGATTATGAGTGGGTTTTATGGAAACTTAATCTTAAGTGAAAAAAGATAGTGAAATGTGAAAGTTCTAGTATTGATTTTTTCACAGAAGACGATCGGTGATGGACATTGATTGGTTGCCAACATCAATCATATAATTAGTGACAAACCGATATGCCTCTAAAGTTTAATGTCTAAAACGATGTCAATCAGAACAACTGCACCAAAACAACATCATTTTGATGTTGGAGGTCGTATCATAACCATTAACCATGTTACCATCTTATTAGTGATTTAAGAAATGACATAATTGAATATAAACTAAGATTCAATTCTATAATTAATAAAATTAAAAGTTCAGGTTGTGGTTTATTTAGGAAAACAAAAGGAGAATGGCCCATTTCAATATAGGATTATTGAAACGCCTTCATTTGCTTTCCCAAAACGTGTATCCTGTTTACCTCTTTTTTCACACTTTCAACATCTTCAGCCGTTGAATTTCATGGTCGATTATGAACAGCTATCTCTTTAGCTGCTTTCATTTCATTTGTATGCGCCATCTCAGCTTCAAACTTCCTTTCTAGTCTATTTTCAAATTCAACGTTTCCCATTTGTTTTCTGCCCAGCGTTTCACACCTCACCCAACTGTGTGTGCCCCATCGGACTTCCGGCCTGACCTGCTCCATCACTATCACCTTGTGTTTCTCAGCTACTCACTGAGTTTCTAAGTCATCTAACTCGAGCTTTGAGCTCAACCCAACGACGATCTTTTGAGTAAACCAAATTATATTCATGTCTAGCATATGATTATGAGCATCTAAACTTCAAAGTGTTGAAAATTAGCACATGCACCGAAAGTGCATGTTGAACATTGTTTTGAAAATCGGACCGGATCGGTCGGTTCAACCGGTTCAACCGGTTCAATCGAGAATCGTTGTCTAGTTCGGTTCAAACTAAACCGGTTGAATCGCTACTAGTGAACCGGCCAGAATCGTTGAACCATTCGAACCGGACCGACTGAAAACCGAAAAATTAAACTAAATGACGTCGTTTGTTAAACGAGCCAAGTCGAACTCGATTATTGCTGAGCTCAACTCAAACTTTAAAAGTAAGCTCAACTCGACTCAAACTCACGAACTAAAAATTATCAAGTTCAACTCGAACTCGAAATATAATATTGAAACTTGAACTCGAAAAGGCTTGAACTCAAAAAAAATTTAGAAGCTCGATTGAAGCCTAAAATTCGAGCTTGATTGAAGTGAAAGAATAGTTCACTCTATGCTCACCAAAAGACTCCATGATTTTGAATGTCAAATTACATATATTATTTATAGAAGTTAGTTGGGATGCTCTTCTATGTTTCTTAGCCATGTGAGATTGTTTTGTTATCATATTTTTACTCTTTAGACTTTTGAGATGTTCTTCTATGTTTCTTAGCCATGTGAGACTTTTTTAAAAAAAAATTAAACCAAACAATATCATTTTGTTATGATTTTTTAGCCCCAAATTTATTTTTTAATTATAGTTATATAATTATATTTATTATTTAATATGTTTTACCTTAAATATTATGTTGTAGTTAATTTGAATCATTTTGTTTCACTTGATTTTATGGTTTTTAACTCATATATGTTATGACTTGCTTTGAATATGACTTGTGATATACAAAATTATTTTTTATTAAATATTTTTGGTATTTTTATTTAATTTTTTAAATAATTATGACGTCGTCCGGTTCTTCCGACCGGTTCGACCGGTTGAACCAGTGAACCGATAGCATGACCGATTCGCTAACCGGTCCGGTTCTGAAAACCATGATGTTGAAGAAAAAAAATGAAATGAAGTAAAAAAACATTAAATGCACCAAAAGGTGCACAACATTTTTGTTGACATTTAGGAATTGTAAAATATCACATTTAGTCATTGTATTTTAAGGTATTTATAAGATTAGTCCTTAAGCTTCATTTATAAATATCCTAGCTCATTTAGCTTCAAAACCATCTCAAAGCATTCTAGCTTTCTTTTAATACTAGAGAATTTAGAGAGTTTCTTGAGAGTTGTTTTCTCATTTTTATCAAGAGAGAATTATCATTGTTTTCTCCTTGGTAGATTGAGAGAAGTTGTAATTCCTATTTTCTCATAATAAAATTCTTCTACCGTTGTCCGTGGTTTTACCCTATATTATTTAGGGGGTTTTCACGTAAATTTTGTGTCTCTTTTATCCTCATTTTTATTTTCTCAAATTATCAATTGCGATTTTGCTCTTTTCGATAGCCATCTTCCGCAACAATTAGTATCAAAGCCAGATTTGAGTGTGTAATATCTGCTTATTGTCTTTGTGGTTGCCACCAAAAGGTGGATCCTCCAACATAAGAAAGTAAGAATGTATTACTCATTCTTTGAAGGCTCTAGAGAACTATTCACGATAGTGAAATAGTGCGAGCTATCCGAAATATAAGTTATGGCAACGAAATTTGATATTGAAAAATTCAATGGGAGAAATTTCTCATTGTGGAAAGTGAAGATGAAGACTATCCCAAAGAAAGACGGTTGTCTAGCAGCTATCAGTGAAAGGCCGGTAGATTTCACAGATGACAACAAATGGATCGAAATGGACGGGAATGCTATAGCAAACTTTCATCTAGCATTAGCAGATGAAGTATTATCAAGCATCGAGGAGAAGACAGCTAAGGAGATATGAGATCATCTCACCAAATTGTACGAGGCCACATCGTTGCACAATAAAATTTTTCTTAAGAGAAAATTGTATACTCTCCGGATATATGAATCTACTCCAGTGACGGAGCACTGAAACACACTGAACACGTTATTTTCTCAGCTTACATCCTTAAGATGTACAATATGAGAACAAGAACGTGTTAAACTTCTACTTCAAAGTCTACCTGATTTGTATGATCAACTCAACATCAACTTGACAAACAGTAATGTCACCAGTCCAGTCTTCGATGACGTTACAGCTGCTGTTCTAAAAGAAGAAAATCGACGCAAGAACAAGGAAGACAGACAAGTAAATCTACAATAAGCAGAAGCATTGACAACGACGAGAGGGAGATCAACAGAACGTGGCCAAAGCAGCCGTCACAAACATGGTAGATCGAAGTCGAGAAGAAAAAAGAATTTAAAGTGCTACAACTGTGGAAAGAAGGGTCACTTGAAGAAGGATTGTTGGAGTCTAAATAAAAACTCTAATCCACAAGGCAATACCACAAACACTTCAGATGATAGAGATGCTCTATACTGTGAAGCGTCAACCACCATGAAAGGCAGAAAAAGATTTGCAGATATAAGGCTCATTGATTCAGGAGCAACATATCACATGACCTCAAGAAGAGAATGGTTCCATCATTATGAACCTGTCTCAAGAGGATCTGTGTATAGTTGCAATGATCATGCCTTAGAGATCGTTGGCGTGGGAACCATTAAATTGAAGATGTATGATGGAACAATTAAAGTTGTTCGAGATATGCGGCACATGAAAGGCCTGAAGAAAAATTTATTATCCTACGGATTGTTGGATAATAATGCAAGCAAGATTGAAACACGAAAAGGAATCATGAAGGTGTTTTGTGGAGCGCTTGTGGTGCTGAAAGGCGAAAAGATATCAGAAAACTTGTATATGTTGAAAGGAGAGACTTTGCTCGAAGTAGAAGCCTCTGTTGCCTTATGTAGTTCAGATTCTGCAATGCTATGGCATCAGAAACTTGGACACATATCAGAACAAAGAATGAAAGTCCTTGTGGAGCAAAAGCTACTTCCAGGCTTAACAAAGGTATCACTTACTTTGTGTGAGCATTGCATAACAAGTAAGCAGCACCGGTTGAAATTCAACACGTCAAATTCTAGAGGCAAAAGTGTTCTAGAATTGGTTCACTCTGACGTATGGCAAGCACCAGTTACATCCCTAGGCGGAGCAAAATACTTTGTCTCATTTATTGATGACTACTCCAGGAGATGTTAGGTGTACTCTATTAAGAAGAAGTCAGATGTGTTTTCAACTTTCAGAAACTTCAAAGCGCGGGTGGAACTTGATTCTGTAAACAAGATTAAGTGTTTCAGAACAGATAATGGAGGAGAATACACAAGCGAAGAATTTGATGACTTTTGCAGGAAATAAGGCATCAAAGGACAGTTCACAGTGGCAAACAGTCCTCAACAAAATAGAGTGGCAGGACGGATGAACAGAACCTTATTAGAAAGAACAAGAGCAATGTTGAGGGATGCAGGCCTAGAAAAATCATTATGGGTAGAAGCAGTCAATACCGCTTGTTATTTGGTGAATCGAGCTCCATCAACTGCAATAGAGCTGGAGACACTAATGGAAATGTGGACTGCTAAACTAGCTGATTATTCAAACCTCCATGTATTTGGAAGTATTGTGTATGTGATGTACAACTCCCAAGAAATTTCAAAGCTAGATCCAAAATCCAGGAAATGCAAATTCTTAGAGTATGCTGATGGTGTAAAGGGGTATCGCTTGTGGGATCCCACTGCCCGCAAAGTGATAATTAGCAGGGATGTTATCTTTGTAGAAGATAAACTACAAAGAAAAGAAGAAGATGTTAGCACTGAAAAGTCAGAGACTATACAAATACATGTGGAAAAGGAGTTTGAACAAGGAGATTCTTCTGAAGAAGAACCAGCACATGATGAACAAGAACCAAAGAGTTCTGAAGCTCCAACAACTCGTCAATCAGATCGTGTGAGAAGACGTCCCAATTGGAACTCAGATTATGTTATAGAAGGAAATATTGCATACTGCCTTTTAACAGACGACGGTGAGCCATCAACATACTAGGATGCAATAAACAGTTCAGCTGCTTCACTGTGGATGATGGTGATGCAAGAAGAAATTGAAGCTCTTCATAAAAATAATACATGGGACCTTGTGTCTCTACCACAAGGAATGAAGCCAATTGGTAACAAATGGGTCTTCAAAATTAAGCGAAATGGTGATGATCAAGTGGAGAGATATCGTGCAAGACTGGTGGTCAAAGAATATGCTCAAAAAGAATGTACTGATTTCAATGAAATCTTTTCTCCTGTGGTTCGACTAACAACAGTTCGAGTAGTCTTGGCAAAGTGTGCTGCATTGAATTTACATCTAGAGCAGCTAGATCTTAAAACAACTTTTCTTCATGGAAATCTTGAAGAAGAGAGGATGGAGATGTCTCGAGTATAGTATGCATCAGCAGTGGGAAGTTTAATATTCGCTATGATATACACAAGACCAGACATTGCACAAGCAGTGGGAGTGGTTAATCGGTACATGGAGAATCCAGGCAAAGAGCATTGGAATACTGTAAAGAGGATATTGAGATACATCAAAGGGACCTCAAATGTTGCATTATGTTATGGAGGATCAAACTTACTAATCAATGGGTATGTAGATTCTGACTATGCAGGGGATTTGGATAAAAAAAATCTACTACAAGATATGTGCTTAAAGTTGCTGGTGGAGCTGTAAGCTGGGTTTCAAAATTGCTGTCAGTTGTGGCTACATTCACAACAGAGGCAGAATATGTAGCAGCTACACAAGCTAGTAAAAAAGCAATTTGGTTGAAGATGCTATTAGAGGAGATTGGGACAGTCAAAGCACCTTGCATCTAGCAAGGAATCCAACATTTCATTCAAGAACAAAGCACATACGATTTCAGTACCATTTCATTCGTGAAAAGGTGGAAGAAGGGACGATAGATATGCAGAAGATCCATACCAAAGACAACATAGCAGATTTCATGACGAAGGCTGTCAATGTTGATAAATTTACCTGGTGTCGATCCTCCTATGGTCTATCAGAAATGTAAGCAACATGATGGTACAAGGTAGAAAAAATGGTATGAAGATATGATTGTTCCAATCAAATCTTCAAGTGAGAGATTGTTGAAAATTAGCACATGCACCGAAAATGCATGTTGAAGAAAAAAAATGAAATGAAGTCAAAAAGCATTAAATGCACCGAAAGGTGCACATCATTTTTGTTGACATTTAGGAATGATAAAATCTAACATTTAGTCATTGTACTTTAGGATATTTATAAGATTAGTCCTTAAGCTTCAACTATAAATACCCTAGCTCATTTAGCTTTAAAACCATCCCAAAGCATTCTAGTTTTCTTTCAATACTAGAGAATTTAGAGAGTTTCTTGAGAGTTGTTTTCTCATTTTTATCAAGAGAAAATTATCATTGTTTTCTCCTTGGTAGATTAAGAGAAGTTGTAATTCCTATTTTCTCATAGTGAAAATCTTCTACCGTTGTCAGTGGTTTTTACCCTATATTATTTAAGGGTTTTCCACGTAAATTTTGTGTCTATTTTATTCTCATTTTTATTTTCTCAAATTATTAGTTTTGATTTTGTTCTTTTCGATAGCCGTCTTCCGCAACACAAAGATCGTTGAATTGTTTACAAAATATTATCCTACTTAAGTTCGATATTTGTTTCCGTTTGCACATTGAAAATGATGTAAATTTTGCTAAATTTGGGCAGTGCCTTAGATGAAACTTATGTTTTGTGCATTAGCAAATTTATGGTCCTGAACTCTGAATCTCTTTCACATTCACATAGGCACATTGAATTTCATCTTACATTTTGAGATTTTTCACTATTGCAGGAGACAAGAACACCCGTGTCCCGCTTGGACTAGGTATTATCTAGTACCTCATTAGTAACATGTTGCATTGTTTCCCAGAACTTCTAGCATTGCAGGAACCATGTTTAATCGATCTCTTCCTTTGTCTTCAGGCCTCGGAATAGCCGGTGCAGCGATAGTCGGTATACTTCTAGCAATCGGAATTATGCGTTTCCGGCAACAAAGGCGAAAGAAAATCGCAGTCCAGGTTATTAGCAGAGACCTTCTAACATCTCACTCAAGCAAAGGGCCATCATTCTTCACAACTAATACATCTCAAACAAATTCTTCATCTTCCACTTCAAAATTCGACATTGAAAGAGGAAGCACTTACTTTGGTGCCCATGTTTTTAGTTACGAAGAACTTGAGGAAGCCACTGATAATTTCAATCCTTCTAAAGAACTTGGAGAAGGCGGCTTCGGCACTGTCTATTACGGTGATAATATCGAACTTCTTAACCTTAAATGTCATTCCTACCTAGAAAACACCCTGTTTATCATTGATTTCCTTGATCAGGTAAACTCAGGGATGGGCGTGTAGTGGCTGTTAAGCGCTTGTACGATAACAATTTCATGCGTGTCGATCAGTACATGAACGAGATCGAAATCCTCACTCGCATCCGTCATCCGAACCTCGTGGCGCTCTACGGATGCACCTCAAGACGTAGTCGAGGGCTTCTCCTTGTTTATGAGTTCATTCCGAATGGAACCGTGGCTGATCATTTACATGGAAAGCAATCAAACGCGAGTTTGCTTGCTTGGCATGTTCGTTTGAGCATCGCCGTTGAGACGGCAAAGGCGTTGGCTTACCTCCACGCATCGGAGATCATACACCGCGATGTTAAATCGAATAACATTCTCCTAGACAAGAGTTTCCATGTAAAAGTGGCTGATTTCGGATTGTCACGGTTGTTTCCTAATGATGTCACGCACGTCTCGACTGCTCCGCAAGGTACCCCGGGTTACGTCGACCCGGAGTATCACCAATGCTACCAACTCACTGAGAAGAGTGACGTTTATAGTTTCGGAGTCGTCCTGATTGAGCTTGTATCGGCGAAACAAGCAGTGGACATCACCAGACATCGACATGACATAAATTTGGCTAACATGGCAATCAACAGAATCCAGAGTCGAGCATTGCACGAATTGGTTGATCCATCTCTCGGGTTCGAGAACGATTGCGCGGTGAAAAGCAAGGTAACGGCGGTGGCCGAATTGGCGTTCCGGTGTTTGCAACAGGAGAGGGATATGAGACCCTCAATGGGAGAAGTGTTGGAGACACTGAAAGAGATTAAGGGTGGAAGATCAGAAGATGAAGTGGAGGATATTGGATCGGATGATGTTGGACTATTGAAGAGCATTCCTCCTCCAGTTTCTCCTGATTATTCCACCGATAAATGGGTTAGCCTCTCTACCATTACAATCACCTAAATCATTTCTACTTTTGGTTATTTGTATCCAATATTTATACTCAATTTTGAGTATTAATAGATAGCACTAGCTAAAAGAGAAAACAAATGGAAACCCAATTTTACTTCCTTTTTGCAGGTGCAGGTAAAATCGATGTAATCCTGGGTTTTGTGTAAATGATGGAACGAGCAGAAGAAGATGAATTTTCTGCTGATATTTTAGGAATTTTGGTATTGTAGAAAGGGAAAATCCCAAGTCATAGGTAAATAATTCTGAACATGCACTATAAACCCTAGTGGAAGAACATCTTTGTAAATTGATGTAGTTATCTAATATATATGATCTTCAATTTTGAACCTTTCTTCATTTACTCTCATTCACTGTCAACTACCACACACCCATATCTCACATGCATTTACTACCACTTTAGCAATAAAGCTAAAAAACACTCCATTAGTCAGTGAAGTTGGGACCACTGAAACAGGTAGTTTTAAAAGGAAAAAAAAAAAGCTTGATCGCCGATAGGAACAATTAAATTTCATCATGTTACAATTTTCACAAACCATAAAATATAACTTTTTAATTCAAATTATGATTCCGTGTCTTTAAATATGCATGAGTCACATGTTCAAAATATGGTCTTATCAACTTATTATTTTATGACGCATTAGATCTCAGTATCTCAAAGTAGACAAGTCTCATACATATAATCCTGCATTTAGTCAGTATGAAAGTAAATATATTATAAAATGCACACTGTAGTTTTCAAAAGAATCTCATATCTAATTCGAAAATTCCTTAATTTTTGTTTATATACGAGTATTGTTACTGAGCTTGTAAAAAAAATTTTGTGTGATGGTTTATGTAACGTCTTAAAAATTAGTTTAAATTCTTTTGATAGTTAAAATTTTCAAAAAATGTTATTAATTCTATTGAATAAATAAGATTAAAATATGATTTGTTGTGGAAATGGTTTAAGGATTAAAATATGATAAATGAAGAATATGATGACTTTAGTGGAGAAAAGGAAACTTTAGGTGATCAAATGAAAATAAGAGAAAAGATAAATGGCTAAACTTAATTAGACCATGAATGGTTTTTGTGTCCTTGTATTGTATTGCTTGTTCAGATCATTGTCATGTAGGCACATATGTGCATTATGTATTGGCTCAATTGTAGCTTACCTAGCCTAGACCTAGGTTGTGCAAAAATATCCCACCCGGTTAATCCGACCCATAGACTCGTCGACCCGAACATAAAAAATTGGATAATTTTCTTGAAAAAACTATTCGACCCGACATTTTTCGGGTCGGGTCCATGTCACAAAATTGAATTTTTTCGAGTATCCGGATAGGCACTTTTTAGGATAAACTACTTATTTGGTCACTTATATATTATCTAATTTATGTTTTCGTCACTCGATTATTTTTTTTCAAAATTATACTTAACGTTACGTTTTGATTCTGTTTTGGTCACCCATATTTAAAAATGAACAATGATGCTAACATGACATTTTTTAATTATGTTTGGATGTTGGACTAACATATTTTAATTATGTTCGGATGTTGGACTATGTAATTCGAAGTTTCGAACATTTAAATTTGTGTTTATTTTTTTAATTAATAATTTGAAGAAGAAAAAATTGGGTATCCGAGTACCCGATTACCCAATAACCGCAACGTCCGGGTTGGGACAAGGACCGAAAAATCAATTACACGAAGATCCGAGTACCCGAATTTGCACACCCTTACCTTGACCCACAACTTTTCTCTTCCACTCCCTTCACCACACAATCAAACTAAGTGCAACAAAACAATCAAATGATTTTCTAAAACCTTCTTTCTCTCTCCATGGCTTTGATTTTACTAAATAAATCAACTACCATAGGTCATGAACATGGATTCCAGGATCGAAGAATTTGCAAATTCTCTTTTAATAAAACTATGTACATGGTTTGTGCACCTAAAAAACCTCCTTTTAATACTATCGTTAATCCAGACATACATAAGATAACTGGTATTTCACAAAAGCATGTTGAGATTATACTAGGTTCTTTTATTGCTGGCGAGGATGACGGTGAAATAAAGATATGTTAAATTTTTATTTTTTACAGTTTCATTTGATTTTATATGAATCAATAAAGAACTAAAGATGTTTTTACTTTTTTTTATCACGTAAAACTATAAAAATAATTGAATTAATTATTGATTAAATATGGTAATGTCATCTATTGTTAAGGGTTGACTGTAATGAAAGTGATCTTAAAATTAAATGACTATTGAAGACACTAAAATTCGTCCGTTTAAATTATGAATTATATATATATATATAATATTATTATATAATAAATTATATATTATTATTTCAGGACCAATGCTACCAGCTGGCCCAAGGAACTACAAGCGCCCAAGGAACTACAAGCCTAGTGCAGCAGCCTAATCTCAACCCAGTGGACCAACGACCCGCACCAAATAAGCTAGGGTTTTGAAACCCTAGCTTTTTATCCCATTCCAGCGCCGCTTTGGCCGGTCAACGCGCAGCACGCCACCCTCCTCGCAATAGTCTCCGCCAAATACGCTCCACGCCGGCCATTTCGCTCAACAAACCTGTTGAGTTAATCGATTGACGGAATTGGCCAAGAGGGGGGTGATTTGACAATTAAAAATTTGGTAGAAGCTTTTGCAGAAAATTAAAAGTAATTGCACATCGATTTAGAGTGGTTCGACTTTCTCAATCAAAGTCTACGTCCACTACCTTAGCTATCCACACTAAGGATTTTCCAACAAATTCACTAATTTGTTCTTTCTTTTGAGGCCAAAGAGATAACCTTACAACACCCTCAAGAATATATCCCAATTCTTGAGAACACTCTTTCCCAAAGATTACAAATTTTCAAACTTACAAGGAAAAACCTCACAAGGTAAGATGTTTGCACAATTCTAGAACAAGAAAAGAACACTCAAAGATAATTACAAATGAGCACAAATGGTGTTCTTGAAAGCAAAATGAATATTGAAAGGAAAATTTGCTTGATTTGCACAAACTTGGTGTTTGATGCTTTCTCTCTTGTTTCTCTATAATTTCTTGTTGATCAAGGGCTTCAGAACTTGTTTAAATACACCTTGAATCACTTCTGAACGTTGGGGATGATTAGTGAAGATCATATAGCCGTTTTAGTGTGAAAATAATTAATAAAATAGCTTGGAGTGTGGGGGGAATCGATACCCCCTATGGGGAATCGGTTCCCTAAGTATAAAATTCAAATATTTTGACCGTTATACAAGGGGGGAATCGGTACCCCCTGGGGGGGAATCGGTTCCTTCCGAGCATACTGGAATTCTCGGAGCCAAACCATTCAGGGGGAATTGGTACCCCCTTGGGGGGGGGGGAATCGGTTCCCTCTGAGCAAACTGGAATTTTTGGCTTTAAAATGGTTCGAAATACTTTGTAAAATTATTTTGAAATTGTTTTAAGATTAAAACTTAATTTTACACTTTGAGGAAGGATTAAAAATGATCTTTGAAAGATTTGGAGTAATGTTTTGATATTCGAATAATTCTATCGAATATACTTAGAAAATCATTTGGAAAATCTTAAAATTCATTTAACTTAATTTGTTATATCGAAATATCAAAATGTTTTCAACAATCTCCCCCTTTTTGATATAACAAAACATTTTAGTAATTTTAAGATTTTGAAATCAAGTTTTGAAATTACTCTCCCCCTTACTTTAACACTTCTCCCCATTTTTGTTAAATCAAAAAGACATTTTAAAGAATTTAAACAAGGTTTTGAAATCATTTAGCCAATTGATTATATATAATATAAGCTTCTTCATCTAATTCAAGCTTTGTTGAAGAGCTCATTGGAGTGTCATGAGGTTTCCCATTTTCCAGTCCAAACTTCTTTAGCATATCTTTGACGTACTTAGCTTGATTGATGAAGATGCCATCTTTTCTTTGCTTGATTTGGAGTCCCAAGAAAAATAAGAGCTCCCCCATCATGCTCATCTCAAACTCACTTTGCATTAGCTTAGAAAATTCTTGGCAAAGAACATCATTAGTAGAACCAAATATTATATCATCAACATAAATTTGAACTACTAATAAATCTTTACCTTTATGCTTCAAAAACAATGTAGTGTCAACCTTCCCTTTTGAAAAACCTTTTTCAATTAAAAAAATTGACAATCTTTCATACCAAGCTCTAGGAGCTTGCTTTAAACCATAAAGAGCTTTTGTCAATTTTAAAACATGATCCAGAAAATTTGAATTTTCAAAACCTGGAGGTTGTTCCACATACACTTCTTCTTTTATAAAACCATTTAAAAATGCACTTTTAACATCCATTTGATATAATTTAAATTCATTGAAACATGCAAATGCTAATAACATTCTAATTACTTCCATCCTAGCTATGGGAGTGTATGTTTCATCATAGTCTATGCCCTCTTCTTGAGTATACCCTTGAGCAACAATTCTAGCCTTGTTTCTCACTATATTACCACTCTCATCAAGCTTATTCCTAAATACCCATCTAGTACCTACAATATATTTATTACTAGGCCTTTCAACTAATGTCCATACTTTACTTCTCTCAAATTGATTTAACTCTTCTTCCATAGCCATAATCCAATGTTCATCATTTAGTGCTTCTTTAATATTCTTAGGCTCTATGCATGAGATAAATGCAACATAATTACAAATATTTCTAAGAGAAGATCGAGTTGTTACCCCTTTTGATGGATCACCTATAATTTCACCATCCTTGACATAGTTGTACTCTCTTGGATAATATACTTCCCTTTCTTCAATGGTTGGATTCTCAAGAGGATCATGAGTTTCCTCATTTTTCGTTTCTTCCTTTGATGATGGTTCTTCAACGTCATATCTAACGTCATTTGTATTTATAACACCTACATCATCATTCACACAAGAATCCTTCCTCGGGAGGGGATTATCATCAAAAACAACATGTATAGACTCTTCTACAACTAAAGTTCTTTTATTAAATACACTATAGGCTTTAGAATTTAAGGAATAACCCAGAAAAATTCCTTCATCACTTTTAGCATCAAATTTGCCAAGGTTTTCTTTACCGTTGTTTAAAACAAAACATTTACAGTCAAAAGGATGAAAATAACTAATGTTAGGCTTTTTATTTTTGAAAATTTCATATGGAGTTTTCTTTAAAATTGGCCTAATCATTACTGATTTACAACATAACAAGCGGTATT